ATAAATTAACCTCCCAGACATACCCAAAATATCCAGATAACCATGCACAGTCCCTACTTGGCTCTTTGGCTACTAAATTCACAATGGGCCTCTTATATGGAGTCCAGTTAGTTTTGATTAAATGTGACAAAACCAGCTGGCCACTTGATGTAAAACTGGGAAAATCAGGTCAAGTTACATGGTTCATGCAGGACCTACATGGGTCCTGCTTTTTATCAAGAACTGTTCTAAACCAAAAGTCAAGGTTACCTTTTTTGGGCCAGTTTCTTTCTTTTATCTTCGACCCCAAACGAAAATATATACCAAGCTTTAGGGCTGACAATAATAATTTAAATTTTGTGTCTTAAATTACAATTTCTATCATATTTCTATTATACTTTTCTTAGAATGAGACTAAATAATTTGTAATGGTCATCAATCTAAATGATATTTAAGTGTTTGAAATATCATTTGTTAATAAAAAGATAGCTTTCCAACTATATATCCTGCTAACTGGGATGTTTACTTCACTAATAATCAATTTAAAAATTCTTGAACAAAGACTTCCTGCTCACACAGGAATGCTTTGTAATATGAATTACTGATTTGCCTAAACTCATGCTCATAGTGTTCCAATAACCTCTGCAGACTGTGCATGCTCTCGTGCAATTCAAGTCTGTTAAAGTATTCAGTGGTTTGTTACCACTTTTCAAGCATTAAATACAGCTTTTACTCTTTTATATCAGATTCATATTGACTTTGAGCCTATTAGGATATCTGCAGTGGTTTATCTTTTATAGAAAAAGTAGGTCTTTGCTTATACATGTGTCTTTGGTACAGTGTATGCTCTTAAGCAAAATTACCAGAGCCACTGACCAGATTTTGACATGGGTGGCCCCGATGGAGCAGGGTGAGTAGAGGATTCAGTGAAAATGTCTACATGTAGACTAGAGGACAAGAAGCATCTTAGCAGAACTGCATAGTCAGGTGACAAATGGTGCCCCTGGCCGGGCGAGCGCCAGAAATGGTCTCTTAATCAATCAGAGGTCAGCATGTAGGCTCAGTCCAGACTGCCTCCACAGTCAGCCATCTGACAGAACACTTCATGCCAAGCCAAGAAGCAGGAGCTCACACTCCAGCCAGTGCAGCAATATTAAGGGTATTGTTTTTTGCCTTTTTTATCCTCCTTTTTAAGATTAACCTCAGCAGCTTTGTCTAATTAGTCCTTCTGCTATTATTATTATTTTTTTTCATTTATATTCATCAGCTGTTTGGTTTGCAGCTTAGAGGTGGTCACGGTTAAACATCATTCTCCACTCTGGCCTGAGCCCTATCTAAGGCCTGCAGACCCGAACCTTGACTCACAACCATCTGGGTGAGCACTGAAGGCAGTAAATAACGGACGGGAGGTTAGCACACCTCTCTTGTACACTCATCTTAGGGCCAAGCCCACACATTCTGGTCTGCACCCTTGGGCCAACCCACTCACACCCCCTGGGGTTGACCTACACACTGCAGAGTCCCACAGGGAGCTAATCAGAAAAGAGGGAGTAGCACAGACCTTCTGTCTTCTGTCCACCCCTCCACCCTCCATGCACATAACTCTACTTTCCCACCATCTATCTCCCCATCTCTCAGTATCAACACATTCATCTGTCCACTCTTACTATCTGTTTAAGCCTCCCCGGTTTAAAGACCTTTGTGATTTACCCATCTGTTTCACTTTTATAGCTGCCATGTTTGCAGTTGTGTCTCCATTTAATCATTGCATCCCCTGCTACTTTGGAGATTATTGTTTTGACTTCTTAAATAAAAGACATGAGGAGATTTCAAGTCAAAGTACCATGTTGTTTGTCCAATAATTAACTTTTAGTGCCTTGCAAATGTCTCCAGATTTTATTGTGTTACTTGCAAATGGCTATCAAATTTTATGACAGTTTAACACAACAGAGCAACATAATGTAGCTCAGAACCTCAAATGAGAAACCTTTGAATTTAACAAGTAATTTAAATGTGTTTCAAAAATTTTTACCAAAAAAAAAAGAAAATTGGAAACAATCTTACAAGCATTCGTATTAACACTCGCTAGGTTAATGCTTTAAAAAATATATTTTTTTAGGTATCCTTTAAAGGGGTCATAGAATGCAAAACCGAGTTTACATGGTCGTAGATGAATAAAGATATTTCAGTGGGCAAAATGGACGTACAGAGAAGTTCAAACCCCATCGACACCTCCTTTCTCTGAAAATCTCAGAATTCTAAACTCCTACCATAAAACGGGTGAATTCAAAAGAAGCACCGAATTGACGGTAACAGACATCCCAAGTTTCCCAGGAGTCTCCTTGCACTGTAGTCGACCAAAATCCCAGAAGACTTTGAAAATCCCCCTAGACATTTTTTTTAGGTATGAAAAGTAGGACATGTCCAGGAAAAAGAGGACGTCTGGTCACCCTACCTTATCAACAATTTCCATTTTTCAGTGAGTGAGTGCTTGTTGCTATGATGCATCTTTGCTCAGCAGGTTTGCTCATTGTAAACCAACCAATCAGCGCACATACCATCTAAATATTCATGAGCATGCCATAAAAGGAAGAAATCCTGACGTTTCATTCTAGGTCTTTTAACCAGGCTTGCATTAGGGCTCATAGAACCGCAAATATGCCATTTTCAGCCCAACCAATGTTACACACCCTATTCAGAGACCTTAAGGACCAGCACCAAATACCCTATATAATCATTCTATGACCCCTTTAAGAGCTTTTAACATTCATAGACTGACATTTTATCGCTTGTGTGTCTTTGGAAATTACATCAAGTATAGTCATAATACCAAATGCAAATATATGGAACAATTGTTGCAAAATGAAAATTAAACCAAACATAATTTTCCATTCATTTCCAAATTGTACTTTAAGGTGAGTGGATAAGAAATATGAACACTTGCAAGGTAAAAACTGTGTTTTTTGGAGATGTTCTTCCTGAGGAGGAAACAAAAAATCAGAGTTAAACAAAAACAAATACAGAAGCAACTGAAATACTATCAGATTGCCATTGAACAACAAATGAAATGGTCAATTCCCTGCAATACAAAGAGCAATCAATAAGCCAATTATTGCACACCCACAGGTCCATATATTTATTCATCCACTTTGACAGATACGACCTCCCTTTGCGGGGCACATTGATTTATCTATGCGATATATCCTCTCGTACGTAGAATCTCATGCTGATTCAGTCCCCGTAGGAGAGCGGGATGGCACACGGATGTAAGCAGGACTGACAGCGACACCAGAATGATTAGATGGTGCAGAGAAAGGCAAGAGGACACTGACTGAAAGTCACATAAACAAAGAAAGAAAGCACATCAGCCAAGATAACCTCCGTGAGTTCAGACAATATTTGAGAACAACAGCATGTGGCACCTTTGAAGAAGAAAGGCCCTGTAAAAGAACAGACAGAATGAAGAAGCGAAAAATGAGGAAGCGAGGGTGGAGCAAGCTAAGGCAAAAACATGCCAAACCAGGATCAGCAAGTATTGAGATGCAGATCAGAGTATTGGAGCGAATAATGGGGGATGTAAGGAGCGTGTGGACAAGGAAGTTCATGCGGGGTAGATTCTCACACATCTGCTAACCTGCTTCTCTAACACTGTGAAAATGGGCTTCCTTTGTCTGGTCTTGCAGACTGGACCGGAACGACTTGTCACTTTAGGTGACCACTTCACATTCACATGTAAACTAGAAGATACTCACACTGATGTTTACATAAACACAAAAAATGCATAAGTTGTAAAGCTGCTAAAAAAAAAAGGTTAAATGAGAAGATAGTTTAGCTTCTAACTATTGTTGTCTTCATTTAAAATAAACCTAGTCCTTGGGGGATGAGCCCAAGGTTAGTTCAGTTTATTTTATTTATATAGCACCAATTCACAACACAGTTCATCTCAAGGCACTTTACAGTTCACCAGATCATACAGTCAAATTGATTCAAAGTTTTCTATCTAAGCAAAACCAGTTGATTGCATCGACTCACTCATAGTTGATTAAATGGGTCAAATATCTTCAACCCTAAGAAGGAAAACTGTTTTATGAACCCATTAAACTATGTTAATGTTAACATTGGGTGCTATTTACAGAGATGGCGACAGTTGCATAGGAAATGCTGGCAGCAGCTAGTGAGACTCCTCTGAAAATATTGCTTCACTGCCACACAGTGATGTTAAAGTCCCTGAAATGCAACATTTTGAACAACATCAGATATGTACTAATATGAGAGAGAAATGTGGTCCTATTAGTCACATTTAGATCATTTTAGCTCACATTAAGATTATAAACGTTAATTTTGGTCTTGCCTGTTAACTTATCATTGTTAACCTGGTGTAAAATGTTCGGACCTATATCCTTTTTGAGAGATCATAACCTATCCCATATTTTAGAGTTGTTTGTGAATATGCAAACATAAGTGTGAAAATCAAGATCTTCTGATTTACCTTTAAATGTAAGAAAATCTTTCAATTCAAAAAAACTTTTTTGAATTTATTAAGATCGTAATATTTTTTATTTAGAAATGAAACAGAAAAGAGTAACTGGAAGGCATTGGTAAAACATTTACCATATATATTATTTTCTTTCAATTAACTAGTTACACAAAACTAGTTTCAAAAAAGAAAGCGCCTAATGTTCAAGGAGAAAGAAATTTGAGCTTTTTATCCAAACATGTCCTAAACTGTTTAACTGACTTGACAAAACTCAGCTGAAATGATTTTAACAGAGAACCCTTCTTTCTGGATTGGAGTGGGGGGATGGTGTTTAAAGATTACGGAGGGGGGGGGGGGGGGGTAATATAGGGTCACACAGCACTGAAATGGGGAGGGGGGGCAATTTTCCTTTCTCTCTTGGCTTTAGGAAAGAAAGGGGAGGAAGCCAGAGCAAGACATAGAGAAAGAAGCCCAAACCAACCGAGGCGAGATGGATGACTGGGGGAGGGACTGGAGCAGGAGCGCTGCTTATTGGTAGGCTGCACTCCTCGCACTGGATGGATTGACTTCGCTCGGGTCGAATTACACCATTTGCCGTGCATTAGTTTGTTTTCCTCCCAGCCAGAAGAAGTTGATTCACTACGACGCGCAAGAGATTTCCCCGTTTTCTGGATTAAACCCTGCAGCGCGTAAAAGGATATAAAATAAACATTTCCGATGAGGTGAGTCCCTTGCAGATGAGAAGTGGATGTACTTTTGTTGCGCCACACTGTATGGTGAAAGTCGATGGGGGAGGAGGGGGGCTAGAGAGAGGTCTTTACCTTTAAAACTAATATATATTCCTCCTGTCCGATAAGCAGTGCCGATCTGGGAAAACTGATGGTTGCAGGAGGAAGATAGTGGGATTATCTTTAGTAGAGGTCGCAAAATGAATCTGCTCAGCTTGGAAGCGTCTTTCCATAGTCTGTATAAGTGAGGAGGGATCACATTGGCTTAGATGGTTGCTTGTAAACTTTAGTGATATAACATAATTAACAGGAACCAATTATTGGAAATGTTAAAGGTAAATAGACCACATGGGTAGTCTGGTCAATGTGAGTCATTGTAGCTGTTTTTGCGCGCTGCTGGATAGTATAGGGGAGCATCAGTCCTGTGTGTGCCCTTCTTCTGGTTTCCAAAGTTAATCGTAGTGGAAGGGGCTGGTGTGTGTGAGAGAGAGAGAGGGAGGGGGGGCTGTGTGGTCGTGGCAGAGCTTTGAAGATCACTCATCAGAGAGCCAGGGGGGCCCCGGGAACGGAGCCCTAGTCAGAAGGCTCCTGAATGTGGAGATCGGAGCCGAAAAATCAGCCAGCGCATCTGGATGAAAGAGAGGGGAAAGAGTGGGGTTCTGGATGGAGCTGAAAACAACAGGAATATCAGGCTGGGCTTTTTTACGCACATGGATTATCAAAGGAATATAACATTCATTCGGAGTATCTCATTCGCGCGTCAATTCGGCTGTTTAAGGTAGGTCTGGTGTGATGTTTTTTATTTTTTTGTTTTATCAATAAGAATCTAATTCATTGGGTTTCAAATAGCCCTGTGCGCACATTAATTATTCTTTATTTAAAAAGCCAAATAACATAAAATACGCATGTAATGAAAGTAATCCTAGTTGGCAATTTGCTGTAAAACTAACGCCTGGTTACAGCCCTTTAAATCCGTGCGTAATCTTATCTTCAAACGTCTTTTTCATTCATAAAAAGTCATTATTATATTTTGTATTATTAGTTTGAATCATACTATTATTATTTTTAAGTTAATATGATTAAAGTTTTTTTCCCCTAATTTTATTTTTATTAAACCAACTTCTGTTGGCTGTGTACGCATGACGGGAATGGCTGTTAAACAATAAGAGGAGATGGGCGGACAGTTACCAGGAAGGTGTTTCCTTTTCTGATGCCTCTGCTATTTTTAAAGCATTTTTTTCCTAAGCCATCTTCTTGCAGAATAGTAAACAGCAGAAGCGCTCCGACCCAAATAGGCGAGGAAGCCAAGCTGTGGACATGAATAAAGCGCAGTTAAAGAAAACCAAGCCCCATCACCGCTGTCACTCCACCGCTGTCCCCCGCGTCTTTGTTGTTCTTTTGTACGAGTCCAACATGTGGACTAAAGGGCTATGAAAGGATTTACACGGACAAAACTCGGATGCCTTTATATTCGGGTTTGCACAATGCATCCATTAGAGCAAAGGGTTGGATTTTGTAGCCAGGACTGGGATAAAAGATTCACACTGAAAGTGTGCAAATTAAGAGTGAGAGAAGAAATAGTGGGATCTTAAAGAGGAAGGTTCTTGATTATTTAAAAAAATCTATTATATAAATGGGGTAAATTTGATTAAAAAGCAACAGGAGGTGTTTTTTTTTACATGATTATATTTTTTCTACATTGACAAGATGCCTCTTAAGTTTGAAATAAACATGATATTAATGCATGATCTAAGCGCAGGTTCTATATCTGCCAACCTGTGTTCTCTTTTAGAAATAAACCCAAATCCCTGAAGGATCTGAACTCTTGCCACTGAGATCACAGAGCTTAGCTCATACAGTAATTACAAACTGGATGTAGGAGTGGAACGCCACCATGGCCAGTTCAAACATAACAAGCCACAGTTTTTTCCTCTTTTTCCAACAGCACAGCTGGTTGAGTGTCCGCCCTTGCCTGGCTGGACACAGGGTCAGGGCTCGGTGACCAGAACGACCACTGTTAACCTCCTTTAAAGTCGGCAGTAACCCCGGAACGGCCGCCATTAAACCATCCAGTGATCACTTTTAACCCTGTATGGTTTCCCTTATATCAGTGATTGTTTGGGTTAAATAGACAGAGCGGTAAAACTGGGACCATGTGTGAAACATTTGGCTCCAGTTTATTTGTTTAGTCATAACAAGTCCCCTAAACATCCAATAAACATGGATCTGCTGGGTGGGGGGTGGGGCTCCATTGTGTTCTAGTGCCCAAAGCCCCCTTTTGTTTCTTGGTCACACCTGCAACTTAAAGCTTTTGTGTAGAACTACTGCTGAGAGCAGCCTTTCTCCTGTTTCACTCCTCTGCTCACCAAACTATTGAGGGCAAGTTAGGAAGCATGCATTGAGGGAGGCAAAGCTTCCCTTAATGACAAATTTCTGAAGCAACAAGTCAACCAAGCAAGTGAGAAGTAATTATGGTTTTAATAGCTGCTAGTTATGGGTAGTGCTCTCACTGCAGTAGGAAGGGAAAAGATAACTTGTTTGCCTGTTTGGTAGCTGCTCTAATCATCTGGCTGATTCAACCAGGCTTCATCTGGATTAATTTCCCGAGGCAAACGAGTCAGCAGACGAAAGCCAAGTTATAGGATGTACACAGCTTCAGGCCTAAAGTCACACATGCCTGCATGTGTTTTAAACATGCATAGTGTGTAGAGAAATGCCAAAAACTAAACTCCTGAGTTATCTGATTTCCTGTTTTAAGTTCACAGCTCGTGTTGTGCGAGATGACAAGCCGAGGAGCCCTTAGCAGCAGCAGGAGCAGCTATTGTTCTGCTGGGATTACATCCACCCAACGCATTCACACTCAATTTACAAAATCTCACGCTCTGCTGTTGTTTTCAATCCTTTTTATTATTCCCAGTTCCTCCCAGAAGTACCTCCCTGCAAAAAAAAAAAAAAACACAACATCCATGCAGTGCCACATTAGAGGTGAGGTTCTTGTGCCAGTGAAAACCCCTAGCTAAGAGGAGGATAAGTGTTAATCTGTCCCTTTAAGCTTGAAAAATTAAAGCTGGTGCTGAAACCACCATAACTGGACCAGAGACCCAAGTCACCCGCTGTCAGCAGAAACAGAAATCCGACAGATCCCTTCCCCCCTCTCAGCCCCTCTCCCCATGCTAGAAACTGTGGACCGGAGCCAGCGATATCGGCAGTGAAAGTGCGTGGTTGTTGGACACTGAAAAGCCTGTAATAACAGAGGCAGAGCGAGGCAGCGCTGAATGGCACTGAGTTGCGTGACAAGCCGAGCGTCTCTAGACTTCTATGTGCATGCATGCACATACACACCTTCCTGAACACAGACACATGCACACCCTGAAGGGTAGGGACCAGAAAGCGTGAAGGCAACTGAAAACAAACTGCCGTCATAAGAGCATGAGAGTTCATTTTTAATCACTGACCTTACACTAAAGTTTCTATGGAAAGCTTTTGCAAAACTCATTGGCTGCAGCTGTAAAAGGAAGATTGTATTTTAGGTTCAGCCCGGAGGGTTTTTCTCATGGATTGTTTAGTATAAGAAAAAAAAAAAGGTGTGAGTTGGAGTGCTTTTGAAGAGGCGACAAAGAGAAGGACTGTAGATTTTTGACAAGTCAGGAAATGATCTACCTGCGGATACCGCCAAGTTTGGGATATGTGAACAGCCTGCAGTTTTCATGAAAGCATTATAAAGTATAACTGCAGAGCTCAGTTTATTTACTTTTTATAGCTCCCCATTTTTTTTTTTTGCCATCGAGCATTTCGTATCTATTTCTGTCCGGTGTTTTTTCTTTGGAAACTCAGCAGTTTATTGCATTCGATTCTAAAATAGCACAAATTTCAATGGATGAGCATCAAAACCAGGTAAAAAATAAAATAAAAAAAATGATGTGATGCTTTTAAGGAAAACACATGCAGATTTATTTGTGGGGCAGTAATATTACTTCTCATTTACATTACGATTTTAACAGACGCTTGGCAAACCTCTGCGGCTCGTTTATGAAAACATCTCTTTGGTCCCCATAAATCTACCAATTTCTGTTGAGACATCAAACCCCTAATTTAACTATTATGTGGACTGATGAAGCTTAAGCATCATCTCGTATAGGCATTGCATTACTCAGAGTTAATGACACCGCTCTTTCAAAGGCCTCAGTATCCCACAGAGTGCTGAATAGCCATGATTATACACTGCTTATGACTAAAACACATGGGCTTTACTCCGATTCCAGCTAACGACCCTCCTCTTTGATCATCCAGCAGTAACTGTTTAGATCAACAGAGAATTAGGGTTGGAAAGCATCATGTTTTATATCAATGTGTTAGAATAAAGGGGGCTTTATGTGCTCTGCATACCCACAGAAGGCTTTTGTTCTTATAAAAAATCTCACCGTCTAATTGGAGAGTTGACAATCACGTGTCATAGGTTACTCGAAATATGCCAGGAGCGTGCGCATCAAATATGCAATTCTTGTGACAAGATGAAGTAATCAGATTTTGGTTTACAATGTCTTAACTTGGCTACAGTGATTGAGGTAAGGGCTATAGATTTTTCTTTTCTAGCTGCTGATCAGAGATGTTTCCTGTGTGGATCAATCAAAGCGCTAATGGCTTGGCGGGGCTGGGCTCACAGACAGCAGTGGAGCAGGTGTGCTTTGGGGCTAATTGAAAAATGAGTCAATACTTTGTGTGCGGGTGTGTGTTTTTATGCATTCGTGCTCCAGCGCTGTCTTTGCATTATAGCATTTGAAAGCATGATTCTGTATGTGCAGCCTGGGCATCTCAGTGGGCTCCCCCTGCTAATCCATTCCCATGCCTGTGTGACGTCTCCCAGTAAATTGTTTATATCCGTTCAGGCTTTACCTCCATGAATAATTTGTTTTCCTTATAAATATTTGAATGTACATCAGTCATTAATATGCACAGACACAGTCTGTCCCCAAAGTACTCTTCCATACACCAACTTACACACTTAAACTCCCCCCTGCCACAACCGTGATAAATTATTGCCAGTGTAGCCATTAACATAATATATCTGCAATCAGGCACGATGCAAACCATTGTCTAATAAAATTACAGCTCATCAAAACGACCCCATATGTTGTAATGCGGAAACAATTGAGGGAATCACTGTGCTGCAAGATTAAGAAGAAAAAAAAACAGAGACCAACCCCCCATAAAGGCTGGAGTGATCCCTGCCAGCAGAGTGCTGATAAAACTCTGCTAAGGTCAGAGCAGAGGATGCGCTACCAGAGGTGATGAAGCTGCAATGTGGTGATTAGTGCAGGGTCTGGCCAAGTAAAACCAATCAGAGCACAGATGTACAGCGACAGCAGGCCCACCGCATTTCTCAAAGGGGGGGACTTCCGCTGCATCCAACACACACCGAGAAGCCCCACCAGTAAGTTGGCTGACCTTCCCTTAGACAGCAGATGCAGCGAGAGGTTGTGGGTGAAGTGGCCAAGCCTCGCCACCGACTACCCAGTCATCAATAAATCAGAGGAAGTGTTAAGTTTTTATCCTTATGTCATTAACCAAACTTTAGAAGCTTTTAGCATGCGGTGTTTCACATGCTTCTCATAGGATCAGAGTTGACCTCGCCATGGAGCTAGAGCATAAAATCTATTATACGTTGAAAAGTAACAACCATGCATTTTGTTAATGTCTCCAGGTAACATCTCCAGGATTGTGAAACAGGAAGTGTCGTCTGTGAGCAGCCATGGGCCAGGGAGCTGCGCTTCTGCTCAGCGAGCTTCTGCTGTTACTGGCAGCTTCACAAACTCTCCTTGCAGTCAGCTTCCCGGAGGACATCGTGCCCCTCGACGTTGTTGATGCTCACTGTGAGTAGAAACTGGCTGTTGTTCATATCACCTGCTGAAGCAGCCCTCCCTTCTGCCTTCTGACATCCACTTTCTACTCATTTAACCTACCACACTGAATTAACACCAAATGCATGAAAAACTCATCCTTGTTGCTGTGTCATCAGTTCACACAGTATGGCGCCATATTCATAAAATCACTCTGCTGTAGGGGAAGTTGTAAAAATGGGGGCATTTTATTTCCATTTCCATCATGCACTTGTACAAAAAAAGAAAAAGCAAAAACAGCAGTTAATGATATAAGGGTTTGAGAACTTGCACATTATATTATTTGTTTGCATCATGTTTTCATTGCAGATCAATGTATTAATTAAGTTTAAACTGAAGCAAGGGGTGAGATTTAATACGTTTCTAATGGGTGTGATTTCCCTGCAGTCACACGGAGGTACCCTGTGTTCAGAGGCAGGCCCTCTGTCAACGACTCACAGCATCGCCTCGACTTTCAGCTGATGACCAAGATACAGGACACGCTATTTATCGCTGGCAGGTATTTTTAACGCACACACCTTTTCTATATTCCAATCTGTCGTCTTTCCCTTTTAAACCCCCCCCCCCCCAAACATCAATATATTCAGTCACTGCTTGGCAAGTGAACACAAGCACCAGGGTGAAAAAGCTCTTAGTGTTATTGGATCTGTGGCTTCAAGATCTGATGTATATGGCTGGTATCGATTCAGTGAAGGCGTCCATCATGGCGGTCTGACGTGCTTTCAGGGATTTTTTGGCATCTTTACTTGTCTTTTTTTTAATTTATGGGCAGTAGAATTAATGTGGCTCCTAGCACTAACATTGTAGCAGGAAATTACTTAAACATCAACAATATAAAGTGTTGCTCCACTAAAATCCCTGCAGCCACCAACACATGTTTGGTGTCGGGTGGATTCTATTCCTGACGGTTTGTGTTTTCAGTAAAAATGAAACAGGAAGTTTTTGACCCAGGGTTGATCATAAGTCATGCTGATGGCTCTTTTTGAAAATACATTATTAACATGAAAGTAAGTGCTAAATGTTTGCTGTCTTGCTTTAATCAAAGTGTTTCAATATTCTATATTCATCCACTAAAAAAACACTTGAATTATTACCTTTTAACCATCCACAGCCTCCTTAATTAGTACTGATGAACAGAACGTTCCCTCTTAAACCAGGCACCAGGACTGACATCCCTGCTGTTATTTGATCTAATTTATTGATCCTTTGTTAATGTGAATGCTAGAGCACATCCAGGGCCTTAAGAGAGGTCACATTGAAAATAATAAAAATCATTCTTTAACCTCTGTGTTTTTATATGTATATATAATTTTAACAATACTGGACATACAGGTGCTGGTCATAAAATTAGAATATCATGAAAAAGTAGATTGATTTCAGTAATTCCATTTAAAAAGTGAAACTTGTATATTATATTCATACATTACATAAAAACTCATATATTTCAGATGTTTATTTTGTTTAATTTTGATGATTACAAATGACAACAAATGAAAATCTCAAATTCATCATATCAGAAAATTAGAATATTACTGAAGACCAATAAAAACAAAGGATTTATAGAAATGTTGGCCAACTGAAAAGTATGAACATGAAAAGTATGAGCATGTACAGCACTCAGTATTTAGTTGGGCCTCCTTTGGCCTGTATTACTGCAGCAATGCGGCGTGGCATGGAGTCGATCAGTCTGTGGCACTGCTCAGGTGTTATGATAGCCCAGGTTGCTCTAATAGTGGCTTTTAGCTCTTCTGAATTGTTGGGTCTGGTGTATTGCATCTTCTTCTTCACAATACCCCATAGATTTTCTATGGGGTTAAGGTCAGGAGAGTTTGCTGGCCAATTAAGAACAGGGATACCATGGTCCTTCAACCAGGTACTGGTAGCTTTGTTACTGTGTGCAGGTGCCAAGTCCTGTTGGAAAATGAAATCTGCATCTCCAAAAAGTTGGTCAGCTGCAGGAAGCATGAAGTGCTCTAAAACTTCCTGGTATGTGGCTGCGTTGACCCTGGACCTCAGAAAACACAATGGACCAACACCAGCAGATGACATGGCACCCCAAACCATCACTGACTGTGGAAACTTTACACTGGACTTCAAGCAACGTGGATGAAGTGCCTCTCTTCTTTTCCTCCAGACTCTGGGACCTTGATTTCCAAAGGAAATGCAAAATTTACTTTCATCAGAGAACATGACTTTGGACCACTCACCAGCAGTCCAGTCCTGTTTCTCTTTAGCCCAGGCAAGACGCTTCTGACGCTGTCTGTGGTTCAAGAGTGGCTTGACACAAGGAATGCGACAGCAGAAACCCATGTCTTTCATACGTCTGTGTGTGGTGGTTCTTGAAGCACTCACTCCAGCTGCAGTCCACTCTTTGTGAATCTCCCCCACATTTTTGAAGGGGTTTTGTTTCACAATCCTCTCCAGGGTGCGGTTATCTCTCTTGCTTGTACACTTTTTTCGACCACATCTTTTCCTTCCCTTCGCCTCTCTATTAATGTGCTTGGACACTGAGCTCTGTGAACAGCCAGCCTCTTTAGCGATGACCTTTTGTGTCTTGCCCTCCTTGTGCAAGGTGTCGATGGTCGTCTTTTGGACAACTGTCAAGTCAGCAGTCTTCCCCATGATTGTGTAGCCTATAGAACTAGACTGAAAGACCATTTAAAGGCTTTTGCAGGTGGTTTGAGTTAATTAGCTGATTAGAGTGTGGCACCAGGGGCCATCAATTTTGAACCTTTTCACAATATTCTAATTTTCTGATATGATGAATTTGAGATTTTCATTTGTTGTCATTTGTAATCATCAAAATTAAACAAAATAAACATCTGAAATATATGAGTTTGTATGTAATGTATGAATATAATATACAAGTTTCACTTTTTAAATGGAATTACTGAAATCAATCTACTTTTTCATGATATTCTAATTTTATGACCAGCACCTGTAAGTCAGGACACATAAGTATATATACATAAGATGGGTCTTAATGTTTTTTCATGATTACAAAGTGTTCCAGTTCAAGTTTATAAACTCTCATTCAATGAGAAAACGTAAGATTTTAACACCTTCCTGGTCTCATTATTTTTTATATAGTTTGACTGGCAGGATGGTCCTAAATTACACCAAGTTCCAGTCAGCTTCTTCTATAAAATATGAGATATGGTAGAATATGCTGGACATTTGCTAGTAGTCGTTGAGGCGTGCTGTAAACCACAAGATATTATCTTGTAGACAGTAAAGTTCTTATTTCTAAGAAGTAACATGTTGCAGTAGTTATCTTACATCATAATTTAGATTTTTTTTTTTTACAATTAACCCAAGACATAACTGGTCAATCATTGTAAAATGCCACCTAAGATTATCCCTCCAACAATATGAAATAAAATGAGTGTATGTGCTATAATATAATTTGGAAGTACAATGCAAAAACTAAATCTGCACTAATGAAAATTAGTAGAGAATAGTTAAAAACTATGTAAATGAGCTCATACTTATCCATTGCATGTACTTTCTTTAAAGACTCAAAAACGATAAAGGATTCTTCCATAAAACAACCATTTGTTTTCTACCTCTCTAAGGGTATTCCCTGAGGTTTTTCTGACTGAAGTATGTGTGTTGTGTTGTTGTGTGTTTGCAGAGATCAGGTGTACCTCGTCAGCTTGAGAGAATCGTACAGGAATGAGATCATTTCTTACCGGGTAAGATTCTCACCACTAGCTGCTTTCTCAACCCACAATCTCTAAAAGGGCTCCACAGAAAATACTGAGCCATTCATCATCAACCGGACAGGTTGTAAAATGAGAGAGTGGAAAATGGGGAGGGGGGGTGTATTTGAGTGCAAGTCTGTGTATTTTGTTTGACATGCACGTGTCTAATGCACCGTGTGGGTCTTTACAGAAGTTAACGTGGCGATCAGGCCAAGGTGACAGAGACATGTGTGCTGTGAAGGGAAAACATAGAGTAAGTATGCAAGAAAAAAAAGGTTTTGGCAATGTGTCTATCATGAGAAAAGAAAGGTGCCAGATTTTATAAAATGTTGTGTGTTTGATTTCAGGATGAGTGCCACAATTTTATTAAAGTTCTGGTTCCCAGAAATGACGACCTGGTGTTTATCTGCGGCACCAATGGCTTCAACCCCGTGTGCAGATACTACAGGGTCAGTTTTAGTGTTAGAATCACATTCGACAGTGCTCATTTGACTGATTTATGCATCACTTGAATATGCGTTTGTTTCCCCTATATCTAATGTGATGTGTGGGGGATTTCTTTGTTTCCTTTAGCTGGATAACCTCGAGTTCGATGGGGAAGAGATAAATGGTTTGGCGCGGTGCCCGTTCGACTCCAAGCAAACCAACGTGGCCCTTTTCGCTGGTACGGGTCTAACACACACCCACCCGCAAAAGTATTTAGTCTTGCAGAAGAAGGAGTAATGTGTTTCTACTTATGTTCTCATTATCACCTCTGTGTCTCTGCCACAGTAAAACTGCCTGCAGTGATAACAGCTCAGCCAATTAAGCTTTATAAAAGAAAAGAAAGAAATGCAGCGAAGAGCAGTGATATGTGTGCGTTCTCTTTTTTTTTTTAAAGATTTTTTTGTCTTTGAATTTTTGCCTTTTTAGAAGGAAAGCTGTATTCTGCAACGGTTGCCGACTTCCAGGCCAGTGATTCTGTCATCTATCGAAGTATGGGTGATGGATCAGCCCTGAGAACCATCAAATATGACTCAAAATGGCTCAAAGGTAAGCCCACAGCCCTTTTTACTTTTCTATTATATGGCACAGTACAGGTCGATTTCAATTAAATGCAATTTTATCAAAAGCTAATGGGAAACCAGTAGAGAAACTGAGATATTATATTAGTTATTTCTCAAAGTTCACTATGTTTCAAGGCATCATTATATTAATTTTCATTCTAATTGATTCCAAATAATACAACTCCGCTTCTCGAATGTTAATATCACATTTGGCCCCAAAAAGGAACTTTTAAAACATAATACCAGCCTATTAAAAAGGATGTTTATTAAGTGAACACAATATGCACTTCTGTTCAGGTCCTTTAATGATATATTACTGCAAGAAAACCGCACCAAGCTGCAATGATCAGCATCCTATTCTGCTGAGGTGCTAAGAAAGCCCATTTTGGTAGAATCTGTAAGCTTATATTTTTACATGGAGTAACAGTCATTTCCTGTTTAAAATTATAAGTTATCAGTGTTTGATACTTATTTTCCCTCTGGTGTAACTGAGATAAATTTCTAACAGGTTTTATAGCATGCTAAGCTCTTTTACCTCAACGCACTTAAACACTTCCTTGTTTTATAAAAGTATTCTGGAAGTTCATTGTAAAATCTAAGACAAATTAACCAGATATGACATTGTGTAACTAATGCTTGCGATATTTTAATAACCCATGGACAGGAATTACAGATTCTTTTTGCATTTGGTATGGCTCTGTAAAATGTAAGATGATATAATCAAATTAAAGGAAAAAGACACTCCTCTAGTAAATGAATAAACCTTAGAGTAATAATTAAAATCATCTCCAAACTCCTTGATCAAACATAAAAAAATTAAAGGTGGTTTATGTCAATGGCTGATTTCCATCCAGCTGAAGGAAATAATGTTGAAGAGAAGGAAACTTATTCAGCAAAACCAGTTTACTTTATAAAAAAAAAAACTGCCATCAGTCATCCTGAATTCTCTGAAAATACATGCATCTACCTGCCAGGATACTAAATGCCCACAGTGCCATTGCGTGTACGTACGTGACTGTCAGAGCTTTTTTTGGTGTGATAGAGAACTCTCCTGCCTTGCCAAGCTTCACTGGAATATGGGTTGTTCTCTCCCAGGCAATCTAGGTCACCTCTGTCATATACGGCCGTGTACAAATCTTTGAAATATTCAACATGCACGGCGGTGGTGACGGTGCAGAAATACACTTTAACTCTCTGGCTTCATCTCTCCTTTTTTCCCCCTCAGAACCACATTTCCTGCATGCAGCAGAGTATGGGAATTATGTGTACTTTTTCTACCGGGAGATTGCCGTGGAACACAGCAATTTGGGAAAGGTAAGACAGTTCAACTGCTGAGTAAATCACCTTAAATATTCCTCAAAAATAGTGTGCAAGAATTTCTTTCATTGACGGATGTGTTAGAAATGCTGCCCTAAAGGAGCCTTGGGGGTGATGGCTGTAAATCACATCCCAACGCAAGGGAAATTTCGACACCCACCAGTTACTGGGAATGTCTTCCTAATGTAAAACCATTACACAGAAGAACGATTTACCCCCTACAGACTTTGTGTCTCCCTTACACTCCATCACACACAGTCTTGTAGAGGGAATTAGGACAGTCCGGGTTTGAGGCCGGCTTTGCGTTTGAGCATCTTATCCCGGGCTGGGCTTGCCAAGCCACAGGAAACCAGCATCTTCCATCAGTCACCAGCTACTAAATATTTTAACTCTACTAATGCTGGGGTGTCACCTGGCTTCTGATGGAGGTTTGCACTGGTAAATTATTAAAAACATCTAAGCCAACTCTTTCATGTACCTCATTTACGCTCTCTGCCTCTGTAATATATAAAATCAAACATGCTTTCACACGATGCTGCCTTAAGTACATTTTTAAATGTTTGTTTCAGTTTTAAGCGAACAATCTCCTCACTCTGAGTTAAATATTCGCGTGTGCGTTAAGTGATTTGTGCTGAGTCGCTACAGGATGGAGTTATTTATTATTCAGCAACCTGAAGTGTTTTTAGTGACACTCACGGAGATGCCTTCCTTTTCCGCTCGCCTCAGTCCTCTCTCCAACCTTCTTTTCTCGCAGGTTGTTTATTCCCGAGTGGCTCGAATCTGCAAAAACGACATTGGAGGGTCACAGCGGGTGCTGGAGAAGCACTGGACCTCTTTTGTGAAGGCCAGACTGAACTGTTCTGTGCCGGGGGAGTCCTTCTTTTACTTTGATGTCCTTCAATCTATCACTGACATCATCGACATCAATGGCGTTCCCTCTGTGGTGGGCGTTTTCACAACACAGATGAACAGGTGAGCCTGAAAAATCCAATTCAGGAAGGATATTTCTTAAATTATCCCATTCTTACTAGTCTGTTGTCCCTCTGCAGTATTCCAGGATCAGCAGTGTGTGCCTTCTCCATGACTGACATAGAGAAAGTATTCATGGGCCGCTTCAAGGAGCAGAAGACCCCTGACTCTGTGTGGACGCCGTTTCCGGAGGAGAAGCTCCCGAAACCCCGGTTAGAATTCGAGCTTAAAGCAATATTCCCACTTCTCAAAATATAATTTCAACAAAAGGCAGAAATGAGAAATGAAACGGTTAATGCATGACACGAGTTACTGAACATTGAATTTCTGTGAGCAGCAGCTGCTAACCACCTCGATTCTCTCTTTCTTAATCCTTCTTTGTCATGTTTAAACCCAGTGAAATCAAATCTTTTTCCCAAACAAGCCACCAGGTTATTAGCTTTGATCCAGCGCACACATTTGCCATCTGCTGGTGATTAAATTATTAATTTGGGATAATTAAATGCATTGAATATTTAGCCAGTTTACAGTTGGCACTTATATTGCCAGCCATGCCCTGCATCCAAAATACAAAGTCCACGTTGCACCTCATTACCCATGTAAATCATTGATGAGGTATAATCATGCATATGTATATTTTATGATTCCAGCTGAGACCTTTTCCATAGCCCAAAAGACACCTGCCACCCCATCATATCCCCACCCCAGACTCTCTCTGCACTTTGTCATTCATTTGTTTTCCCTGGTGTTTGATGGTATAGGCCCGATCTTTGACCTATTGCCCTCTGTGCATGTGCACTCTTCATATCTTAGACCTGGGAGCTGTGCGGGTCATGGTCCAGCTGCATCCTTTAAGAGCTCTGTGGAGTTCCCAGATGACACCCTGCAGTTCATCAAGTCCCACCCCCTTATGGACACAGCTGTGCCTTCGATTGGGGACGAGCCTTGGTTCACCAAGACACGTGTTCGGTAAGTACACATGGAAAAACATCTGTCAGTGGAAAGACAAGAGCCTAACAGATTTATGAGGGCATACGTCAGTACATTACACAGCACTGTTTTGTGTTAAGTACTGACAAATTTATATTTTGTGTGTGGCTATCTCTAACCTGTTTTAGACATTTTTATTCTTTTTTTTTACATATGTATTCTGGCCATTTATTAATGGAACTATTTGTAATTCAGGCTTTAAAATGTTCAAGCCTAAAAGACAAGTAACAGCAGCACACAGAGTCCCATTTCTTTATCTTCTTTACATAATGGTAAACAAGAGAGAACAAGAATTGCAGCAGCTATGCATTAATCTTAAAGCAGATGACTACCATAGATACTCAGCTAAATATCTATGGTAAAAGTAATGATTTCAAAGTTTAAAACGACTGGAACTTTGACAAACAGTGCTGGATGGCAGTTTAGTACACAAAACATGCATATAAAAACACAGCTGTGACCAAACTTATGCCTTTATAGACTAAATATCTCGACTCTTTTGTGCAATTAAATATTTGCAGCCCAATTTTTTTCTTTTTATCCCCAAACAAGAGGTGTTAATGAAAGTCTATTCTATTATATTCTATTAAAGTTGACAAAACCTTCACCCCCTAATGACGGGCATATACTGTCGGATATTTTAGATCATTGCACACAGCTACAGCTCACGATGTATGTTCTCACACTGTGCGACCTGACGCTCTGATGCAATATGCTCACACTATACGTCTAAAAACCACGTCAGACTCAGCTCCGCAGTGAGTTGATGCTATTTGGAATCGTTTATCCGGAAGCCAAATGAGTGGAAGAAGAATATGAAGCTCACTAGAGGGAAATATGCTGCCTTAGCAATTTGTGCAATTTTGTGTGCTGAAAGCCCTAAAAAGATAAGGCAACGACGTATTTGGACAAAGACATGGCTGAGCAAACGTGGCTACTACCGTCTGTCCATTTTACAGAAAGAACTCCATTTCACTCACACCCACACCATGCTTTTGTGTTTACGTCTGAGAGGAAGAAGAAGAATCCTTGTTTGCGCATTGGGCTATTTGCCCAAGACGGCCGACTGAATTTCAAACATGTTTGATTTTCTTCTGACCTCACAATTCCTGGTGGTGGTTGTGAGAGGCTGACTGCCCCTCGTTACTCCCTGTACACTACACGACGCATGATCAGGCTGAAAGTCTGCCAGACCGCAAAAATTCTAGCACAACTGGAAAATCGGCCCGCAAAGGGCAAAAATCGTACAGTGTAAGCCCAGCTTTAGACAAACGATAACACCTGTTATTTCCACTGGGTTGTATTTACTTTTATGTGGGATCTGTGATTGATCCCTATGGAGGTATAGATGTGTGTTGTGACTTTCCTGCCAAAGATGGTAATGTTTGACCCACATGTGTTTTCTATAGATCTAAGGTATTAATAAATTCTTGTTTAAGAAACAAGAGAAAGATCTGCACTCACTTGTTATTCAAACACTGAAAACAATGTAATTTTTTTTTTTATTATTTAACCTGTAGTTACTTTATTAAAAGCTATCTTTCTCTAAGAAAAGTGGTGTTAGGTTATAGGTAATAGTACGGCATAGTAATAGGTTACTATGTCGTTTTCAGCAGCTGATCAGTTAGATGACAACTATTGGGATAATGTTGCTCAGCATGTGATCCTAGACAGGAATTTAGGTACATTTTTTTGATTTAAGGTAATTGCACTTGGTTTTACATAAAGTTTTCATATCTGATTTACACCCATTTAACAGTTCTGATTAAACCTACTTCATTGGAGCTGTCTTCATTACTATCTTTAGAAATTAAATATATAATAATTATAACCATATCTCCAATGTTTCTCTAATGCTATTCCCAAAGGTACAGACTAACAGCGCTGGCTGTAGACAGTCAAGCAGGACCTCACAAGAACTACACTGTGGTCTTCATTGGAGCAGAGTCTGGGATTGTCCTCAAAGTTTTAGCGAAGACTTCCCCTTTATCCCTAAATGACAGCCTGTTGCTGGAGGAGATTGACGTCTTCAATAAGGCCAAGTAGGTCTCTTCTGAACTTCTACTGTCTCAATGATTTCCTTTTCTGTTTCTTTTCCTCTTGTGTCTTTCGGTTTCTTGAGTAAGAAAATCTTGAAATGAAAACACACGACAATGTTTACAGTGCATGTGATTATCTCTAGATAATCTAGATTATCTCAAGTGCTACGTGTAGAAGGTTTAATGCCTATTGGGCTTTGAGAGAATGTTTCACCTAATAGTGTTTCAGTTTTCTATGATTTAGGAAGAGGATTGAGTTGTCTGACAGGTGTCCACTTTCTCTTTCCAGGTGCCCATCTAACCGTGCGGATGACAAGCGTGTCCTCTCGCTGCATGTGGACAACAACACACACAGCCTTTATGTCGCCTTCTCAAGCTGTGTCATCCGTATTCCTCTGAGCCGCTGTGAAAGGCACTCGTCCTGCCAAAAGTAAGTGACACCGCTCTTGTTGAGAGGTTATACTGTCACCCATGGGTGTTTGACCTCATTGCGGTGTTTTTTGGACGAGGATCACAGCAGTTTAACTTTATGCTTGATGGTTAATGTTCAATTGTTAACAAAAGATAACGTTTTTTCAATAATTATTAAGCCGGGTGTGGCTGTGTTTGTGTGCCAGGTCATGCATCGCATCAAGGGATCCTTACTGTGGTTGGAAGGCCCACGGTGCCTGTGAGAGAATACAACCTGGTTTATTGTGAGTTCAAGCTTAGGCTGCAAAATATAAATGAAAAAAATATATTCAGAAATGGAGAAAAAAAAACTGTCCGACTTATTGGCAACTCTTATAGTAATCGCCAGGTGTTCTGCTATGTATTTGAAGGAATGGATACGAGCAAGATGTAGAATATGGGAAGACTGCCCACCTGGGAGACTGTCAAGGTATCTCTCTCATTTCCATCCTGTTCCACTGATCGCGGACAAACACACGCTTTTATGCTCACACTTATACACTCTGTACACAAGTAAAACACAAACTCATCTCTACATACACCATGAGCCTGCACACCCGTAACCACTCCAGTAACTTAACCCCTTACATGAGTCTATTCGCAGTATTAACACACACATCTACATACAGTACATGGCCGTCTGTAACAATGGCTTTCTGTGAGGCCCAAACATGGACATGTACAGTGAAAAGGTCATGTTCAGCTTATGCAGATGATAATTTCTACTCTTGTAATTGGAAAATTATAGTCTTCAAGCATCTTACTTAAATGTAGTTTTCACCTCATGCGTATCAGCTAAACATGACCGCAGCTGAACCTCCGTATTGATCAGAACCAGAGGGCTTCCAGTTTTTCCAGGAAGTGCTAAATATCTATTCTCATAGAAGATTGTGAGCATTTGGTTTTATTTGAACTTCTGAATTCCCTTATAATTAATTTCTTGTCCTTTTAATTCTTTTAGTGTTTTTGGGCACTACCTCAGCGCCAGGTGTCAAATCATTTGGCGACCCTACCTCTGGTTAGTTTGATCTTTTACTCAACTGGTTTCTTTTCTTGAGTTCAGTGAGTTCAGTTTTTCTTTCCCTCATTTCTACTTTTCATCTCCTGCACCAAAAAACTACTAACGCTTCATTATCCACCATCTCAAAAAAGGTGATCCACATAGGTGCTCTCCCCACAGCACATAGCCACTCATTGCATCATTTCCTTTCCTAATACATCTGTCTTTCCTTAAGCATGCCAGCAGTTCATCTCTTAGCCTCCCCAATGTTGTGTACCAACTCCTCAAAAACTGTGATTTCGTGTTTTTCTACCTGTTTAAAAATACTTAGATTTGTAATGTTTGGTCTTTATATGTAAAAAAAAAAAAATAAATAATAATAAATCTTTTTTTCTCTCAAAAATGCTCTGCTAATGTCTACTAACTAGGGTGACATGCTTTCCACTCACCTGCACTATTTGTTAACCGTTTGTTTGTCACCACAGACATGGAGTTTTCATCTGCATCAGTCACTGTCCAGCCCAGTGAGCCCATACATCCCCCAGTACTCATACCCAGTAAGAGCCCCAGCTCAGGGCCTCTACCAGAGCACTACGGCTCAGGCTTTGTGCTACAAGATGACCCAGCCACATCTCATTCTTTAAACTCTCTCCCAGGGGGGCCAGAGGGTAAGGCTCATAGGAAGACCATCAAACTTCAAAATCTAATAGTTATTAGCAACATTTTTTTCATAACAGAACCATCTTCCATTGCTATTGACACCCTTGGTAGAGATAATGTCTAAAGCTATTTTTTAATGCCTCTTCTTATGCAATAAGAACAACTGGCATTACAAAAAAGGAACAATTAGGCAATTTCTAAAAAAAAAAAAAAAACTGTTATATTTGAGTACATATGTTTGGTCTTATAAAATAAATTTTTTACCAAAAGGGGTTTCTTTTTTGAAGTTCATCTTAGCCTTTATAATGTTGCAGTGGTAATCAATAATTTTCTGTTTGTGCAGGGTATAAATATTTCATGACACAAAGCCCAATTTCTCTTAGCTTCTCTTTGGAATGGAATGGAAATGTAAGAGAACATGTCTGTTAAGTAAAAAAGATGTATGCTATATTTCACAAGTCAACAAATGGCTCCAGTTGATAATCATCTAAATGTTTGTATAACAAAAGTCAGATCAGAAATTAAAGATTGATACAACTTAACTTAACAATATCCGAAAATGAGAACAGGGAAGCAGTTAAAAAATGTTTGGGGGTTTTCTTCAAACAACAATTTTCAACTCCTACATGAGAATTGTAGAGAAAGAGGCTTATTTCTAATGTTTATCGTTACCAGGGATACCAATAACTGTGGAAGGTGCTCTATGCACATAATTTCTGTATTATTTACATTGCTTTTTCTATGTAACCTCTTTCATTTCTGTAAATCCTTGTGTTTTTATTTTAATTTTTTCCGTGCAAATGATTTACTTCCTATCATTTATTTATTACTACTACTATCCTTCTTTGTTGTCATGAACTCTGTTTTAAAACCTTTCTTTTTTTTATTTTACCATTATTTCCTCCATAGATATGTTAACTAGCTTTAGTGACAGTTTATCATGGCTGGTAGATCATTGACTGGGCCCCCTGTCCCAGACCACTGCTATGGCTGTACAGTGAATGACTAACTCCCTTCAATGTCTGTGGTTACTAACAAACCTTCGTAGAGCAGAAGCTTCACAAATAATTTGGATGCAAACATTACTTTTCTGTCCTGAACGATTTTCCACAGTGAAAAATAATTTTTCTTTGGCTCCATCACAAATTAGGGAGCACTTCTTACCTGTGGATGCTGTATGCATGACACATTCTCTTCTTAAAGGCTGATCAAATCAACACTTTGGAACTAATACGCTCTTTCTGTAGATGGCGAAATGGATTTGGGTGCAAAACAATGACTGTCAGTTTTCACCACCTTTGTCCTTAATCTGGTTTGAACTAGTTTAGAGATTTTAAACGTAGTGGATTTGTGTATAGTAGCTGCTCTGGGTATATTCTGGAGTAAATGTAATTTAACAGTCCCAGGGACCAGTGTTTGTACTGGGGTGTTCACAGGTGTATTACTGTATTTTAGGTGTATCGGATATCTATACAGGTGAAAGCAACCAAATGGTCCACATGAACATCCTCATCACCTGCGTCTTCGCTGCTTTTCTAATGGGGGCTCTCCTGGCCGGGCTCATCGTTTTCTGCTATCGGGACTCTGTCCTCCATAAACCAAGACATGCCCACAAGGACACAGAGTCTGCACCCTCCTGTTCTGACTCCACTGGAAGTTTTGTTAAACTTAATGGCCTATTTGATAGCCCTGTAAAGGTAAAACCAGACAATTTAATTTATCTTCCATCATGTTTTGGCAACATGTACTTCAAAATTTAACAAAGCTGTGTCTGATCTTGCCTTTTTGCATCCACTTTTATGTTCTTAGGAGTACCAAACCAACATTGATTCTCCAAAGCTCTTCACCAATCTGCTGAGCAATGGTAAAGACATCAATACGCCCAATGGTGACACCAAGACCATGATCTTGAGGGACAGCTGTCAGCCCCCTGAGCTGGCCGCTCTGCCCACACCAGAATCCACCCCTGTTCTCCAGCAAAAAGGCTTACAGCCCATAAAAAACCAGTGGGAAAAGGCTCATGGAAAAGTCAGCGGATCCTGTAAAGAGGTCAACCCATCAGCCAAGGGTCCACAGTTCCTTTCTTCACCTGCACCTACTAATACAAATCCCAACCACCCTCACCTTGCTCTGGGACACTCCAATATCCCCAGTGCAGTGGTGTTACCAAATGCCACACATGACGAGCCTAATCTGGACAATTGTGATGAAACTTTACCACATTCATCTGAAAAGAAACTGAAGAATCCAGATTGTAGGGGTAGCAGAAAAGAACAGAAGAGGTCTGTAGATGCAAGGAATACACTAAATGATCTTCTAAAGCATCTCAATGACTCTGTGGCCAATCCCAAAGCCATACTACAAGAAGAATCGGGGCCTTGTCCAAGGCCTCACCTCACACTGGAGCCCATGGAGGAACTAACTGAAGTACCCCCAGCCGTGCCCAGTCGTGAGGCTTCATTGTACTCTCCCTCGTCCTCTTTACCAAGACACAGCCCCACCAAAAGGGTTGATGTGCCCATGCCCTCTACACCCACTTCACCCACAGGAAGCTTGAGCATGGGGGGCACCTTGGAAAGGCAAAGAGGGAGTTACCAACTCCACCGGAGTGCCTCTCACAGGCAGTCCTTATCAACCCCAACAAACGGAGTAACCATGGGGGTATCTGTGTCTCGTCAGCACAGTATGAATAGGGGAGGATATATGCCCCCAACGCCCCCCTCAAGACTTGACTCTCATGGTGCAATGGTGGCACCCGGGATGCACTCACCTCACCTACCTTCTGTTTCCAGACAGAGCAGCTACAGTGGGCATGGCTCGCTTCCCCGAACAGGGCTTAAAAGGACCCCATCATTAAAGCCAGATGTGCCACCAAAACCCAATGGGTTTCCTCCACAGACTCCACAAATGAAAGTGTCTAATAAATACAGTTATTAAATTGGACAACTGTGGACATATCTAAGTAAGCTCTTGATCAGTAGAGCTTTGTGCTCAAGGGCTTGGGCTGTCTAGATGGGATAAGGCTTTGTGTGTGTTTGTGTATCAATTTGAGGTGCTTGTCCTCTTTAAATGATACGCCCATTCACTCGCATTGAAAAAGGGAAAACACCACATGGCCAAAGAAACCTACTGAGGCTCCCTTCAATCCCATCTGCTTCCCTGCACCCAGTGGCCACATGGAAATGAATAGCAGACAATGGTGAGTTTGCTGCTCACCATTGTTCCTGAACTTAGATGCTACCTGTTTCCACGTAAGGTACAAGGTTGCTCAACAGGTTGCTGTGACATACGTGGAGGGGCAAAAGTGGTGGAATACTTGGAGAATTGTTCTCAGTTGTTACTGCCCTTGAGCACTGTCTTCCCTCAAATGTGAACTGAACAGAGAAGAGGTAGGCGATAACTATGGTTGTGATGCGCCTGGAAAAAAGGAAAGTTAATTTTCATAATGTGCATTCTGCTTTGGATGCATCTGACCATTAAACAACTGAATAAAGTAGCAAGCAAAGAAAAAGAGGCAAATGCTTGAATGTGTCTTAGTTGACCAGATAAGCAGATATTTTGAAAGGTCTTGGGAGTTGCCACAAGTCAGCAAAAGCACCTTACAATGTGTTGGAAGACCTAAGTCACTGTCTTTTAATCCAATTTTATAATCTGAACCAAGTCTGAACAGATTTTTGTGTCATTCATTCATGATCATTTGGTCGGGTTTGGCTAAGGTTAGTTATGTTGGGATTATGCAGAAGCAGGGACTTTGTAACTCACTGGGAAATTTGACTTGACATTTATTGCTATGGGTTTAAGACAAAGTATTCATCATTAATGCATTGTTTTCTCAGCCTTGCTAGAACAGCTATGTGTGTGGACATTTGCTTGTCTCTGAGTATGTGTGTTATACTGTAAACAGAGGTGGAAAAGTACTGATCTAAGCACTTCAGCACACTGTTTAGACTAAAACATTGGGTTAAAATGTTTTCCAAGACTGAAATGTATGGTATTCTTTATTCCCCATATGTAGTAATTCTATTGGTCTTCTATCTACTAGTTTTATTAAAAGTATGTTTCTCATTGAAAACTTTTTAAACAATATTTTCTACCCTGTTGTTTTCCTTCTGTAAAATCTACCACTGTGAAAGTAACCAAAGTCTTTTATTTAATGACATTTCAAACAAATATTCAGTTAAGCTAAACCCCCTTATAAAACATGTCTACCAGACGTTTGCTCCTGCAATAATACTATTGCAGACTGACAAAACTGATCCTAGAACAGTGCAACAATATGATACTTGTGTCACAAGCTCCACAGCTTATGCTCCTGGTGCGCTTTTCCACCAATGGCCAGTGTACAATCAGCTCAACATTGACTAATATGTCCAAATAAGTCATGCTGGTAATGACAAGGTCCTGTATATACTTAAATAATATAAATAAGGAGTTTAAGTATTTTTAGGCAAGTGAACCTGAATCTGTGCATTGTGTGCCTTATTTACAAAACAAATTAGTACAGTATATGTCGAAGGCTATGTCAGTTGGTCCTCTGTTCATATCACATGTTTTTTAAACACGTTTTTTTATATAAACAATCTGAAATTTAGGACAAGGTCGTCAAAAGAAGCCATTAACTAATTAATTCCACCCAGGAGTTTAAGTCTCAAATAAGTCGAGCGAAAAATACTTATTAGGTTTCAATAATGTATTCCATTTTACTGCCAGTATTGCAAAGATTTGTGATATCCACAACAAAGTGATGCCATGAACTGAATGTACTTTCATAACTATGGGGTGTAGGGCGGTCAGCTGTTCCGCCGTCGTGTGGAAGCCTAAACACAGCCCATCATTCTCACAGCCAATGTATTAACAAAGACTTCAAGTGTTCTGATGAAAGCTCTTGGCAATGTAATTTCCAAAACCTAAGGGGAGATAGTTTTTTTTATTTTCTAAAGGCCAGAAAGGACAAATGTGGTTTCATTTCTTGTAGCAGTGCTTACATTATTTGGTTGACCTCTGCAGTCATTTTTTGAGTGTCAGTTGCCTGTTTAGCCCAAAGCCACATTTTGTTTACAAGTGGTGATTGTATGTAGAGGCTTTCTCCCCTTCATCTAACCAGTGTTGGGGCTTTGTTTTCTACACATGCACAGTGACATCACAGACATACACTCAAACACTGCTCAACTGCCTTGTACATTGCAATATGACCTGGGTCTTTTTGTTGCAATACAAACTAAAGCCTTTATATTTCAGTCAGTCAGTCTTTGATGTCTGTGCAGACCGACCATGCTATCTCACGTACGTTTATTTAAATGCTGTCCATCAATGCACAGCCGGCTGTATATTTTGTCTCAAGAGTATTTGGGCGTGTAGATATGTTGTACTGTGAATGTGTAAATAATTATGCTTTTTCTGGTTTCATATTTTTGTTGATTTTTTTTTTAACACGGCACGTATAGTTGAAATAAAACATTACTGCACAGAAATAGTGTCCCTGAATCTTATTAGCAAAATCATTTTCAAAATTGTGCTTAATGAAACAGGATACCATTAAATAAAATTATACATTTTTTAGCAATTTGACATGTTTACTGTAACATGAATAAGTTAATCATCAAATGAAAACAAGGGACTGAAGCTTTTTATGCTCCAATCTCATCAGGGAAATGATCAAGTTTGTAGATGTTTAATGTTTGAGGTCAGCATAGAGTTTGTGAAGCAACACAGCATGTGGGAATTCCTCCAAACTGATATGTTCTTCTGCTCACTAAACATCTGGACAAACTATTTCTTAAGGCCTAAGAACTAAGCCCCAAATGAGCTGTGGAGGAATTACAGTAAATGCATTTCAGATCATGTACTGATAAAATCTGGAGCATGACTTTGCAAAAATGTCTCTGATAGGATAAATTGTAAGTAACAGTTCAAAAGGCAAAATGGGTGGATAACTATCACTTTCAATCCATAGATTCTGACTAATTTAAAAATAATCAAATTATCTTCATTGACGTATCAATATTAAAGGTATAGTGGAGGATTTTCACGGAATTTTGAATAGATCCGCCCTCTTCACTTTAAAGTAAGTTTAAGAAGTAATTCAGTTTGTAGGTTTGCCCAAGTGAGTTTAAGTTTTGAAATTATAAACTTCAAAAATTAAGTTGGAGCAACATGATTCAATTACTTAATTTGCAGCACCATTTTATTTTTAGAGTGCAACTTTTAAATCTTCACCTCAGTGAAAGTAATACGGTGGGCTTTGTAAATACAAACAGGGAAGCAAAATATCTGCATTCATTTCAAGAGCTGAATATCATAGCTGAAAGGCAGTGGTGGACCAAGTACTCAACAGTAGTACTTTAGCGAAAGTATTGATACTCAGTCAAATCTTACTCTACTATAAGTAAAAGTTACTCGGTCAAACATCTTCTCAAGATAAATTATTTAAGTACTCACTTTTGAAAATACTTAAGTATTGAAAAGTATATGCATTTAACCCTGTAATGCCAACCGTATGTATCAAATATGATACATACGGTTTCTGAAATGTTTTGCGTCTGACACCTTTTGCATAATTTAATGGCAAAAACTTTGCTCAAAATCCTATTGTACACAATCAGATATACCTGATAACAGAGGGCAGAAGACTACACAAAAAATAATCTTGACTTATCGCATAGTAATAAATTATTAATATCAAAAATTCTTTTTACATATTTTGCTTAAAGGCGAAATAAGGACTTCAAACCAAAGAAAAGTAATTTTCTGTTTTGTTTTATTCTTGGATCAGGCTTAAAAGCGTTAAAAGTATTTAAGTATTCAAAAATACAAATAAGATTTTGTAATATTACGTTTCTGTCCAAATATCGGAGCAATTTTAAAGGACCTTTTAACGTTTAGAAACAACTGGATGTACTGATGAGTAGAACCACTCTGCTACCACATCTGCATCACATTGTGGCAGTTTTATGCTGAAGTTCTTCAGCATGAAAAAATGCCACAATGTGATCCAGATAAATGCCACAAAATATAGAAAAATTTATTTTGACTATTAATTCATTTAAAAACAAGCCTAACACTTTCTCCATGGAATAAAGGTTTAAGGTTCAATCTATTATCACAAAAAGCTACAACTCTGATAGGAGAACTAATCCTACTGAACAACTTGACCACAAGGCAACAACTAACACCTAAATAAAATGTAAAAACTACAAATAATATCTGCACTGAGTTTCTCACGTTTGTGGAATGTCATGCCAACCTCTACAACACTGGTGTCAAAATTCGGTCCTATTCGGTACTAACAGATTTCTATCAATGTAGTGGAGAAGAAAGTACAATATTGTAGGGGGGTGAAAGTTATAAGTACCCCTCCCAAAAAAGATCCTGAAGTAAAGATGCTCAAAAATGGTTCTTATGTACAGAAATCAAGTAAATGTACTTTACTACTTCCCAATACTGCTGAAAGATAACATAAAAAATCTGTAGAAAAGTACTGTATTACTTTAGAAAAGACAGCAAATAAAGCTACATTTCTGATACTAAAAATCTCTTAGCTTTACTGTAAAATAATTAAAAACCTGTTCCTTTAAAAGCATTTAAACATGTCAGTTTGCAAATACATTTTCAGAAAAATAAAAGCAACAGATTGTTTTATGGTGTGACGACTAAATGTCTGTAACCCTAAAGGTTGGTTGCCATCACGGTGCCCTGAGTCTTAGTTACCAAGCCTTCAATCTCCAGTGGATTGTTTGTAATATGCATTTTTACTTCCAATGTCATTTATTTAAAGTAAGAGATGCTGAGGTTGTTGCATCTGTATCATTTTTCTGACTATACTTAAAGAGGAGCAATTCAGTTTGTGAAGGGAAAAGGGAAAAACTTGCAAGCTGCATATAAAACATTGTGATTTTAAGCATAAAAAACAAAAGATCATTTTAAATTACAATTCATTAATTGTCACACCAAATATTGTTGCATTTGCCGCCGAGGAAACATGATGGAAGTACCAACTATATCACTTCAAATAAAACAAGGACTCCTTTATTCCTCAGCAGTTAAATCAGGAACAAAATAACATTTCTTCAAAAATGGAAGAAATCTTATCAAATTTTTAATAAGGATGGATGTGTCACAAAATTGAACCCTAATAATGCAAGCACTACTCGTCACCTGAAAGCCTACGTACAATTTATTTTATATTTCTATGTGTTTGATTATGAACTAATTTTATTTAGTTTTGTCTTATATTTGTAATCATCACCCTGAGTTCATGGCAAAAGTTGTATTTATTGACTGAATCAATATTTACGAATTATTTTTTTTAATAGCCCTCTGCCCCAGCAGCGGAAGGCAGGCACTTAAGATATATTATAATTAAAAATGACCAGAAAACATGTGTTGTGGAGGAATAAACTGACCTAAAACTCTGTAAAAGCTGCATATATATTTGCATAACAATTCTCAGCAAAACTCTGTCTTCTGTTGTTACAAAATAATCATAAAAAATAAGCTGCATTTGCAAAATCCACATAAGTGTTATATTATTATTATTTTCTATTTTTTCTTCTTTTTTTTTTTTTTTGTTTTTTTACACCTTTATGTGGACTTTGTAGTTACTTTATATAGGTCATAAAGTGTTATCACTAACAGAATAACTAGGTTATGGTTTTATGTTTGTGACAGAAACCTTAATCTCTTTCACGTTCTGTTCTAAACAATATGCTGACAGACAGTCCTTCCATAGAGGAGAAACCTGCTTTGCGTACTAATTTTCATAAACAGCACTGTTGTTGTTGGCTTTACCTCCGCAATGGAAATCCAAAGAGGAGAATGACATAGTAAAACAGAATTTTTTAGCAGTTAAACAGACATTTCCATGCTACATTGTCAAAATCTATCTCATCATTCTAGAAAAAGAGGGTTTTGTGTTTTTTAATCTTTTATGATAAACTCATAGGTTAGTTAGGCCATTGTCAGATGTAACATTTATATGAACTTAGTAGCTGTTCTTTATATGGTTTTGACTTTCAGATTTTTTGAAAATGTTGTAAATTTAATTTTTTTCAAATTGGTAAGTGAGCTAAAACAGAAAAGGAGAAGGAAGACGATGTAGGTCAAAGTGAGTTTAGGGGCAAAGTGAGGGAGCACCTCCTGTTTTTTTTTACAGGCTGCTGTTGAAGCCCTTCGGGTGCTCGGCCGGGATGGCGGGGGTTGCGGCTCATCACTGCCGTCTGAATGTTGACACAAGTACTCCTTCATTTGCTTTCAACAGGACCTCCCGAAAACTCACACCTCTTAGCAACCAGCTCATTCGTTTGCTCTCTCGCTAACACACACACAGACACACATATAAGGGAAACATTCGCCCCTCTGGGTGTTCTAGTGGGGGTTGAGTGTGATTTGCTTGTGAATGGGGAACACAAAGAGACGCCTCTTGCTATTCTGAGGTACATCCCATCCTCTCAATTTATCAGATGGTCTATTTGAATTAGTAGAGGCAAATCAAACAGAGCCAATGATTCTGTAGCCATTTCATTCATTTGTCCGTCCGCCTCGCCACACTTAGTCTCATTACCAGCTCCACACAGCATGCGCATGTTGTAATGCAGACGTTTCAGTGTTGACAAGTGTGTACTTTCTACCAAAATGCTTTAAAGCAGTTTCAGGACAAAAAATAAGAACACATCCCATCTGTTTTTATGAGAGGAAAGCAGCAAGGTCACTCATTTAGATGGAGCTAGATGAAAGGGATGGCATATTACAGGTTGAGTCTAAAATCTGCCTTACTTGGAAACATGTCACACAAACATAGGAATAAAGAAGGCACGCAAGCTCCAAAAAGCTCATTCAAAAAAAAAATACCACATTTCCACTTTTTGCCTCTACCCTCCCCAATTCTACATGAACAAATGACGATGATTAGAATAAAACTCATACAGACTACTGATCCTCCTCTTGCTCTCTTTCCTCAGAAGGCCCTAGGAAAACCTGCAATTACTTTTAGATGCTGCAGTGACAGTAAAACAGTTTCTTTTTGAGCTTAAGCAAGTAAACTCACTTTTTTTAGATGCATTAAAATCTGACTCAGTGTCCAGGAAATACTTTATTTGAAAGTGGCACTAAATTACAGGGAAGGAGATGCCAGAAGTCCTTTGGAGCCGGATTGAAAAAAGAAAAACTGACACTTTTGCTGAACAGTTTCTGCAGTCGCAAAAAGAAAGAAAAAAAAACCTATCACAATCTAATCCACCTTCCACTGACAGTTGGTTAATGGCAGCCATTGCTTTTAAAAGTGACTTTAAAGGCAGTCTGGCTGCAGGCAGTGAGGAGAGGAAGATCGTTCAAAAAGAGGAATGGAGAGCATAGAACAAAGAAACAGTGCTGCATGGACTTTTACAAGTTTAATGCAGACATTTGAATGGTAAATAAACCACAAACAAACCCATCTAACGAAGGCAAATAGCACTGCTGACATGCACATTTCTT